AGATGTTTTTCTTCCACGGTTTTATGTATATATCATCCCATTGCCTTCCTACCTGCCTGGTTTTTGCCAAGCAATCAGAATTGAGTCTTACTTGTTGCCCTTTGTAGTTAACTTTTTGTTTTTCCATGCTGCTTTCAGGATTCTTTCTTTGTCTTTGGTTTTGGTGAGTTTGGTGATGATATGTCTTTGAGATTTTCTTTTGGGGTCTATCCTGTTTGGGGTTCATTGAACTTCTTGAATGGATATATTCTTGTCTTTCATCATATTAGGGAAATTCTCTTCCAACAAATCTTTGACAATATTCTCTGTGGTTTTATCTGCCTCTTCGTGTTCTAGAATTCCAATTGTTGTTGTTGTTGTTGTTGTTATGTGCCATCGAGTCGGCCCCGACTCATAGCGACCCCTCCTTGGGTTTCCGAGGCAGTATCACTACGGAAGTAGGATTGCCCAACCTTCCTTCCGAGGAGTGGCTGGTGGGTTTGAACCGCCAGCCTTCTGGTTAGCAGTCAAGTGATTTAGCCACTATGCTACCAGAGAATTCCAATTACACATAGGTTATTCTTCTTGATTGTATCCCACATAAATCTTAGGCTTTCTTCATTATGTTTTGATTTTTTTGTTTGTTTGATGCCTTAACAAAGTAGCATTTAGGTATTTATCTTCATTCTAATTAAGTCTGTCTTCCATTGATTTGATTCTGCCCCTTTGTCCATTCAATGTGTTACCTATTTCTGAAATCTTAGCATCAGTCTTCTGGGTTTCTGTTCATTGTTTTTGTATTCTTTCTCTCTCTTTTTTTTTTTTTTTTACTTTTGTCAGATTTTTTCTTGTATTGTTGTCTTAAATTGTCTCAAGTTTTGTCTGTGTTTTCCTTAATTTTGTCAGTGTTTTCCTTGATTTTATCAGTGTTTTCCTTGATCTATCTCTTAGTCCGTTGAAGGTACCTAAATATAATTCTTTTGAATTTCTTATTAGGGAGTTCCAATGCTGCTTCATCAGGGATATTTTCTGGGTTTGTGTCCTGGTCCCTTGTTTCTATTACTTTATCTTGCTTTTTTGTGTGGGCTGTTATGGTCTGTTGTCCCCAAGACATTGTAGTGGTGTTGCATTTAGGTTAAATTTGTGGTGTTATGTTGGTGTGATTTGTGCAGTATTTTTTTTTTCTTTATTTTGTTGTGATATATCTGTGTGATCAGGGTACTGTGCTCCTCTATTCTCTCTAGTTGTTTGCACTTAGGCTCTCACCACCTGTCTCAGGGTGGATGTGACAGAGAAAGAGAGTGTGTGTACAGATCTCTGTTAGCTGTTCGTGAAGAGCAGGGAGGGTGAGTTGGGCTGGTATTGGCTGCCGTTTATCATTGGTCAGTTGGTGCAAAAGCATATGGTATCCCTCATTCGGTGAGTGAGGCTACAGGAGGTCCAAGTATAGTTGGATTGTGTGGGAATGGTTGGTATCTCCCAGTCAGACAAAAAAAAAAAGAAAAGAAAAAACAAAAACAAGAGAAAAAATCAGACCACATACACAAACAGGAATAAATGCGAGAGAAAGAAGAGAAATGCAATAAATAGGAAGGAAAATTTAAAAATATATGTAAAAAGGATGAAAGAAAGATAATGAGAAAAAGTGTGTGTGTGTGTGTGTGTGTGTATATGTGTGGAGGAAGCCACAATGTCTGGGGAGGGCAGAATGAGAGAAAAGAGCACAAGGAAAAGATTAGGGAAAACTGCAAAAGGTAAACCAAGGGATGAGAAGAACCCAAAGAAAGAAAAACAGAAGGGAATCAGGAAAAAGGAAGAGAAAAAAAAAAAAAGACCCAAGAACCAGGCATGGGAATGAGGAGTGGGAGAAGGGGGAGGGAAAGAAAGGAGAAAGATAAAAAGAAATAAACAAAAATAAAACTGTGGGGTGTAATACAAGGGCACAGACCGTGATGGAGTCCCCACAGGTGAAGAATATGATGGGTTGAGGGGAGTGGAGATGGCCACTCCCCTGTTCACCAAGAGGGAATGGGGCACAAGCGAAACAAGGGGAATATCATACCTCTCCAATCTTCTGTCTCCAGTGTGGTTGCCTGTGCTGCCCTTGGTAGGCAGTGCATAATCCCAGGTCACAGTTCCAGCAAGAATGCCACCCGCATGTGCTTGAAATGTCTGCGTCAGCCTCTTTGTAAACATCCAAAATAGTTGCTCCCTCAGGACAGCTGCTGATAGTTCATAGGTCCGCCTTTCTACTTCTTTAGTGTTCTACTGTTTGATCTTCAGGCAGAATGCAGTCCTCACCCATGCAGCCTTGGTGAACAGAGCTGTTTCTTAGGTTGCTATTCGGAAATCTTCAAAATGGCTGTTCCCTCAGGACAGCCAGCAGTCCATAGCTCCGTTTGTCTCCTTACTCCAGTTTCATTCAGGTTCTTCAACTAGTTGGTTTTTAATCCACTTCTTTATCCTTCCTTTCAAAGTCTAGGGTTCCAGGATCGATTTCTGTATTCCTTTCAATTGGTTTCTCACTGCTTTGTCACAGAGGGTCTGTGTGGCTTGTCTGCCTATTCCACCATTTTATCAGAACTCCTAAATTGACTCTCTATAATTATAAAATGCTTCTATTCATCTCTATTACTACACTTTATCACAAAGTTTATCTTGTCTTCATACTGATGCTTGAGCCATCCTATACTTAAAATTTTATGGTTTATCTTTGTCCTGCATTTACTTTTAACCTATCTATTTCTCATTTAATGTTTGTGTCTGTTAGTAAGTACATGATTGGGTTGTGCTTTTTTTTTTTTCCTAAATCCATTTTGACAGTCTTTGTCTTTTGATTAGAGGGCCTAGTCTGTTGATATTTAATACAAATATTGATATGGTTGGCTTTAAAAACCAAATCAAACTCTCTGCTGCTGAGTGAATTCTAACTCATAGCCACCCCCTCCTTGGGTTTCCTAGGTGGTATCTCTATGGAAATAGATTACCCATCTTCCTTCTGAGGATTGGGTGGTAGGTTTGAACCACCAGCCTTCTGGTTAGCAGTCAAATGTTTTACTATTTGTATTTCCCAATTGTTTTTTAGTCCCCTATTTCTTTGTTTGGTGGAGGTGGTTTTGAATGTTTTTAGAATTCTATTTTAATTTCTCTTTTGGTATGTTCAGCTATATATTTTTGTATTATTTCAAAGTATATTCTCTGGGAATATACTATACATTAATTTTTCAGTCTACTTGGCCCGAATAATGTTATACTTCTTCATGTAAGATACAAAATCCCTTAAAACCAGTTTCATTTACCATCTTTATACTTTACATTGGGAGCTCTGGTAGCATAGTGCCTAAGGCACTTGACTGCTAAACAGAAGGCTGGCGGTTCAAACCCACCAGCCACTCCTCAGAAGGAAGATGGGACAATCTACTTCCGTAGTGATACTGCCTTGGAAACCCAAGGAGGGGTCACTATGAGTCAGGTCTGACTTGATGGCATGTAACAACAACAACAACAACAACATACTTTACGTTGAGAGTCCTGGTGATGCAGTGGTTAAATAAGCACTTGGCTGCTAAGCAGATGATTAGGGGTTTGAACCCACAAGCTGCTCAGTGGGAGAAAATGTGTCAGTCTGCTTACATATAGATACAACATTGAAACCCTATAGGGCAGTTCTACTCTGCCCTGTAGGGTATGACTATAGGGAATCAACTCAATGGTAATGGTTTTGGGTTTTTTTAAATACTTTTTGTTACAGTTGGCACACATATTGCATCTATATACATTATTTTACATATATACTATCATTTTTGTTTTAAATAGTTAATATATATTTTACAGAAATTAGACTGGAGTACTTTTTTACATCTATCCATATATTTTCTATTTTCCATGCCCTTTCTTTTCTTATTGAAGATTCACATTTCCGTCTTATATTATTTCCTTTTGGGAGCTCTGGTAGTATAGTGGCTAAGGCACTTGACTGCTAACCAGAAGGCTGGCGGTTCAAACACACCAGCCACTCCTCGGAAGGAAGATGGGGCAATCTACTTCCGTAGTGATACTGCCTCGGAAACCCAAGGAGGGGTCACTATGAGTCAGGTCCGACTCGACGGCACTTAACAACAGCAACATTATTTCCTTTTAGTTTGAAGAATTTGCTTTAGTAGATTTGTGTTTCAGTTCTGCTATTATTTGAGAGTATCTGAAAATGTCTATTTAACCTTCATTTTTCAAGGATATTTTTGTTGAATATAGGAATTTTTATTTTTGGCTTTTAGCAATTTGCCTATGTTGTACTTGGCTGTGGTTTTCTTTGTATTTATCTTGTTTGGGGTTTCCAAAAATCCTTGAGACTTTAGAATTATGTATGCCCTCAAATTTGGGACATTTTTAGTCATTGTTTCTTTTCCTTTCTTTCTTTTTTTTTTGGCCATCTCTCTCTCTTCCTGGCACTCTGGTATACATACGGTAGACTTTTTGATATTATCTCATAGGTCACCAGGGCCATCTAATTTTTTTCAATCTTTTTTTCCTTCTGTTCTTTAGATTCAATCATTTCTATTGATCTGCCTTCAAATTCACTGCTTCTTCTCCAGTCTGTTGTTAAGTCCATCCACTGAAGTTTGTTTTTTAAAGGTGGTTTTGAAAGTTCATGAATTTCTACTCTTTTTATAGGTGCCATTCCCCCTCCCCCGTTCTACAAATCTTCTGTATTCTTCAGTCCATTCTGAGCATATTTATCTTTACTGTTTGGAGTGAACATAGTTAATTTAGTATCGTTGCATAGTAATTTCAGCAAACGTATCATGTTCAGTGTCAGTCTGCATTGGTTGCCTTTTTTAACAACATAGTTTTGATTATTTCACAGTTGATAGCAAGAATCCAGTATCACATTAAAAACCATAATTACATACCCTCATAGAATTTTTGGTATTCATTCTTTCCATTGTTCCCTTGTGATTTTCAACATTGACCATAATAAAAAGAAAAAGATGTCTCAACATGGTCTTTGCTTTATTTTGCAGGGCTTCGTCTCTACATTCAGCATCATCCAAGTCATTTTGGGATCTCTTATTAGAAGAAAAAAGATCTGTCTTCGGCCTTAGTTCAGAAGATCACATAAAAAAAAAATGTTTTAAAGGAATCGAAAGTTCCCAAAGTCCAAAAGTCATAAGGTAATAAAATAAAAACCATTTTCTACCTTAAAATATTCTGTGGATATTTAATGTCTGAAAATAATTTTTAATAATTTATGAGGCAGATATTTATGCATTCTTTTACATTCAAAACTTACTTGTCATTCTTTAGGCATTTTATTTTTGAATTAGTTACTGAGGTACAATTGATACACAATAAATTATATATATTTAAAGTATATAATTTGAAGTTTTTTCATATGTATACACCAATGAAACCATCACTACATTCAAGAGAGCGAATGTATACATCAATCTCAAAAGTTTCCTCACGTCCTTTTGTGTCTCTTCTTTCCTCCCTTCCCCAAACACTCCACACTAATCTGTTCTGTTAGGATAAATAAGGTTGTATATTTTGGAGTTTTATATAAATGAAATCTTACAGTATATAGTCTTTTTTCCTTAGTTTATCTTCTTTTACTCAGTGTAATTATTAAGAGACCCATCTATATCATTATATGTACTGATAGTTTATTCCCTTTTATTGCTAAATAGTACCCCATTGTATGGAGTTTATCCATATGTGTAGTGATAGACCTTTGGATTGTTTTCTAGTTCTTTCTCTGGCCATTTTTGATACTGGCTTTTAAAGTCCATTATATTTTAAAAAGATATTTCATTTTTTAAATGTCTATATAAAACACAGGGAGCTCTGGTGGTAGTGCCTAAGGCATTTGACTGCTAAGTAAGGCTGATGGTTCAAACCCACCAGCCACTCCTGAGAAGGAAGATTGGATGATCTACTTCTGTACTGATACCACCTCAGAAACCCAAGGAGGGGGTCACTATAAGTCAGGACCTGACTCAATGGCAGTGAGTTTTTATATAAAACATAGGAGCCCTAGTGGTGTAGTGCCATAGGCATTTGTCTGCTAACTGGAAGGCTGGTGGTTCAAACCCACCAGCAACTCCTTGGAAGAAAGATTGGGCAACCTACTTCTATAGTGATACCACCTTGGAAACCCAAGGAGGGGTCACTATGAGTCAGATCCGACTCAACAGGAGTGGTTTAATGTCTAATGATCATGAACATTTCTTCATGTTTGTTGGCCTCCTGAATATCCTCTTTGGTGAAATGTCTGTTTATGTCTTCTTTTTAATTGGATTATTTGTCTTTTTGTTGTTGAGGTGTTGGAGTTTTCTATGAATTCTGGAGATAAGTCCCTTGTCTGATATTTTCTTGCTGAATTATTTTTTCCCCAATCTGTAGGTTCTTTTTTGACTTTTTTGGAGAAGTCTTTGGAAGCACATAAAAATTTAATTTTTAGAAGGTCCCATTCATCTGGTTTGTCTTCTCCTGTTTGTAGGTTTTGGGTTATGATTGATAGACTATTGATGCCATATATTTGGGCCCCTAAATTTGCCCCTGGTTTTTCCTTGAGGAACTGTATAGTTTTAGTTTTCACATTTAAGTCTTTGATCCATCTGGAGTTAGTTTTTGTGTGTGGTTGTGAGGTATGGATCTTGTTTTATTTTTCTTCAAATGGATATCCATTTTGCCAGCACCATTTGTTAAACAGACAGTCTCTTCCTTATTGAATGGATTTCAGCCCTTTGTCAAAGATCAGCTGACCATAGATCAATGGGTCTGTCTCTGGGTTCTCAATTCTGTTCCATTGGTCTATATGTCTTTCATTGCACCAATACCAGGCAGTTTTGACTACTGTGGCTGTATAGTAGGTTTTGAGATCCAGCAGTGTGAGACCTCCTACTTTGTTCTTTTTCAATAATGCTTTGCATATCTGAGGTCTTTATCCTGTTCATCTAAAGTTAATGATTGGTTTTTCCATATCCCTAAAGAATGTTGATGAAATCTGGACTGGGATTGCATTGAATGTATAGAATGCTTTGGGTAGTATTCACATTTTCACAATGTTCAATCTCCTATCCATGAGCACGGTATGTTCTTCCATTTATGTAGATCTCTTATGATTTCTTGAAGTAGTCTTTTATAGTTTTCTTTGTACAGGTCTTTTGTGTTCCTGGTAAGACTTACTCCCAAATTGGTTTTTTTTTTTGGTAGCTATTGTGAATGGTACTGATTTCCTTATTTCTTTTTTAGCAATCTCTTTGCAAGAGGAATCTAACTGATTTTTGGATATTGATCTTGTATCCTGTACTATGTTAAATCTCTCAATTAGTTTTTTGACTGAGATTTTTTGACTGAGTCTCTTGGGTTTTCTAGGTATAGGATCATATCATCAGCAAATAGGAATAGTTTGACTTCTTCCTTACCAATTTTGATGTCTTTGATTTCCCTTTCTTGCCTTATTGCCCTGGCTAGGTCTTCCAATACAGTGTTGAATAGAAGTGGTGATAGAGGGCATCCTTGTCTGGTTCCTGTTCACAAGGGGAATGGTTTCAGTCTCTCTCTGTTGAGAATAATGTTGGCTGTGGAAGTAATACCACCTTGGAAACCCAAGGGGGCTCGGTGTGAGTCGGATCAGACTTGATGGCAGTGAGTTGAGTTTTTTTGTTGTTTGTTTTGCATATATGCCTTTATTATGCTGAAGAGTTTCCCTTCTTTTCTTATTTTGCTGAGAGTTTTGCTCAGGAGTGGGTGTTGGATTTTATTAAATGCTTTTCTGCATTGATTCATATGATCATGTGGTTCTTTTCCTTTGTTTTATTTATGTGGTGGAATACATTGATTGTTTTTGTAATGTTGAAATGTTGCATACCTGATATAAACCCCATTTGGTCATAATTAATTATTTTTTTGATATGTTGCTGGAGTCTGTTGGCTAGGATTTTGTTGAAGACTTTCGCATCTATATGAGGGATATTGGTCTGTAGTTTTCCTTTTTGAGTGATGTCTTTTCCTGGTTTTGGTATCAAGGTTATGCTTGCTTCATAAAATGAATTAGGGAGGAGTACATCCTTTGTATGTTTTGGAATAGTTTGAGTAGGATTGGTGTCAGTTCTTCTCTGAATGTTTGGTAGAATTCTCTAGTGTAACCATCTGGGCCAAGACTTTTTTTGTTGATAATTATTTGATGACCTGTTCAATTTCTTCTTTTGTTATGGGTCTGTACAACTTTTCTACCTCATTGTATGTTAGTTTAGGAAAGTAGTGTGTTTCTAGAAATCTGTCCATTTCTTCCAGATTTTCAAATTTGTTAGAATACAGGTCTTCATAGTATCCTGATACCCTTTTTATTTCAGTTGGTTGTTTTGTGATGTCATTCATTTTATTTCTTATTTTTGTTACTTGTATTCTCTCTCTCCTTTACTTTGTTAAATTTGCCAATGGTTTGTCAATTTTATTAATCTTTTTTAAAACCCAACTTCTAGTCTTGTTGATTTTTCCTGTAGTCTTTCTGTTTTCTGTTTCACTGATTTCTGCTCGAATCTTTATTATTTCCTTTATTCTGGTGACTGTAGGCACTGGTTTCTATTCTTTTTCTAATTTTTGGAGATGTTTGTTTAAAGTGTTAATTGTGGCTCACTCTTCTTTTTTGATGTGTGCATTTATTGCTATAAATTGGCCTCTGTTCACTGTTTTTACTGTGTCCAAAAGATTTGCTTATGTTGTGTTTTCATTCTCATTTAATTCAAGGAAGTTTTGAATTTCATTTTTTATTTCTTTTACCCAGTCTTTCTTAAGGATGGTGTTGTTCAGTTTCCATGTGTTTACTCTTTTTCCATTGATCTTCCTGTTGTTGATTTCTAATTTGATAACATTGTGATCTGAGAAGATGCTTTGCAGTGGTATTTCAATGTTTTTAAATTTATTAAGGCTTTCTTTATGGCCTAACATAGGGTCTATCCTGGAGAATGTTCCATGTGCACTGGAAAAGAATGTATCTTGTGCTGTTGTTGGGTGAAGTGCTCTGTAGATGTCTATAAGGTCAAGTTGGTAGATTGTATTGTTTAACTTTTTCTGTAAGGTCAAGTTGGTAGATTGTATTTTAGCTTTTCTGTGTCTTTGTTGAATGTCTTTCCAGTTGTTCTAGCTTTCATTGAAAGTGGTGTATTAAAGTCTCCTACTATGACTGTGGAGTCATCTATTTGCCTTTTCAATTCTGTTAATGTCTGATTAATGTATTTTAAGCTCTTTTCATGGAGTCCATATATATTTATTATGGATATATCTTCTTATTCAATGATGTTTTTAGTCTATTTTTGTCTCTGTCTCTAAGGTGTGTCTCTGGTCGACAGCATATTGATGGGTTATGTTTTCTTATCCAGTCTGTAACTGTCCATTTCTTTAGTGGTGCATTTAATCCATTTACATTCAGTATAATTATTGACAAATATGAATTGGTTGCTGTTATTTTGTTGTGTTTTTTCATGGTGTTCCTGGTTTCTTCCGTAAAATTTTCTGTGCTGAGCTCATTATGATTATGAATCATGTTATCATTTCCTTTTTTGCTGTTGTTTTAGTATTTGCTAAATATTAGTGCTTGTCCTCTTTTTAATTGTGATGTAGAGGCTTATCATTTTCCTTCAAGGTTACACTGTGATTTATAATTTTCTCCCCGAGTTAGAACAGTCCATTCTGTGTTGCAACTCTCTTGATTCCTTGCCATTTAGAAGTTCTGTAACTACACAGTTTTTTCCCTCTTTTTGATTTGTAGTTGTCCTTATTTGCCAGTTGATATCTCTTCCCTTCTTAAAATCCTGCAAGCTTATTTTACTTTGGATACTTCCATAGCTGTGTTGGTTTCTGAGTTATGTCATCTTGTGTATTAATGGTCAGTTATTGTTTGCTACAGTTGGTTCTCTGTTCAAAGGACTGCCTTTAGTATCTTTTGTAAGGTAGATTTGGTTTTAACAAATTCCCTTAATTTCTGCTTATCTGGAAATCTCCTTACTCACCATCGTATTTGAAGGACAGTTTTGCTGGATATATAATTATTGGTTGGAAATTTTTCTCTTTCAGGGTTTTATATGTACCAACTCATTGCCTTCATGTTTGCATAGTTTCTGCTGAGAAATCTGAGCTTATTTTTATTGGTTTTTATTTTTCTTGTGCT